TGCAGAAGTAAAACTAATGACATTGCTAGAATATTTTTCATATATGATTTTAAAGTCATTACAGAGAGAAGAAACACTTAGAGAAAACAAAAGATTACAACGTGGATTGAAAAGATTCCTATAGTGGGCCAGGTGTAGCGGCACATGCCTTCAACCTCAGCATTCAGGAGGCAGGGGCAGGGGCAGGGGCAGGGGCAGGGGCAGGGGCAGGGGCAGGTAGATCTTCTTTAGTTAAAGCCAACTTGGTCTATATAGTGAGTTCTAGGACAGCCAGAGCTATGTAGAGAGACTCTGCCTTAAAAAAAACAAACTAAGCCAAACCAAACCAAACCAAACCAAACCAAACCAAACCAAACCAAATCAAACCAAACCAAACCAAATGATAAATAAACAAACAACAAAAGAAATCATAACAAAAAAGATCCCTACAGTAAAATGTCAATTTCTTCCACTTTGCAGATTTTAGATAATTCCAAAGACATCTCATTTGGTTTTCTCCTCAGAAATTGACTACAAAATGAAAAAGGCCCAGATTAATGAAGCATCCTTTGAGGGAAAAGAATGCTGAGAATTTGCTCTTCCTTATGCTAAAGTGTATAGTAAGTCCACATTACTTAAGAGGAAGGTAGACATTAGAATGGAGGGTAGAGGCTGGGCGGTGGTGGCGCATGCCTTTAATTCCAGCACTTGGCAGGCAGAGGCAGGTGGATTTCTGAATTCGAGGCCAGCCTGGTCTACAGAGTGAGTTCCAGGACAGCCAGGGCTATACAGAGAAACTCTGTCTTGGACCCCCCCCAAAAAAAAAAAAAAGAATGGAGGGTAGAATTTAGAATCTAGAAACACATTTAGGAGCCCTTGATTCATGTAATGTTAGTGTTTTAGAATGCTAGGGAAAGGTTTTCTTGCCAAACAGGGCCAAAACACTCACTGTCCATGTCCAGTGCATGATTGCCCTGGTTGAGTGGAACGGAAGTGAGAGAGGAGAACATCACTTTGAGGAGCTTCTGAAGGCAAGTACCTGTGATATTTCTAACCCAAATGGAAATGACTAACGAGTTGTACTGTTAAAATTACACTTTTACTGTTTTCCACCAAAGACATTTCAAGAGAATGAAAGGGAAGCCACCTAGAGGAGAAAGTATTTGCAATGTGTGTGTGTGTGTGTGCATGTGTGTGTGTTTTCCTTTAAATTAATGCCAATCCAATTAAAATGGGTCTATCACAAAGGAATGTATCTAAGATGGCTACAAAGCACATGAAGTTGTTCAACATCACTATTAATGAAGGGTATGCAGGCTAGAGTCACGGTGAGATTCTAACAGAGATGAATCAGAATTCCTAGATGAAAAAGTCTCTAATAGTACGAGTTGGCATGAACACAGACAACCTGGGAAACTCTTAAGTCACTAGTGGCATTATAGACTGGTCCGACTGCTCTAGAGAACAGTTGGCACTGGCTACCCAAGTGAAGAAGCACATGCTTTACTGCATTTCGGTTCTAATCCTAGGATCATGGCTAACAGAAAAGCATGAGAGTAGCTACCAGTAGACATGCATACAACCATGCTCACAGCAGCAATTTCCAAAATATCCCCAAATTGAAAACAACTTACATTTCCCCATTAAAATAATAGCATTGTCAGTTTTCATCCACTAGAACACTACACACTCATGATAACATCCAAATCATATTTACATCCCACGATATAGGTGTGCAGCATCAATGGAAGATTAGATGAAAGAAATAATATATTCTGAAGGATTTCTTACTATGTGATCCCATTTATACGTGTCTCCCCAAAGCCGTCCAGGGCAGTGGCACGCTCCTACACTCTTAGCGCTCAGATAGCTTTGGCTGAGGATGATCACATGTCTGAGGCTAGTCTAGCTAGGATGCTTAGAGAGAAACAGTCTCAGAAAACAAAGTTATCAAAGTCCCCAAAATTTAACCACAGGAGACAAAGCCTAACTGTAGAGCTTAGGGACATGTTGCAAGCTCTCATCACAGTCAAGAAAGTCTTTCCGGTTAAAGTTATGAGTGAGTGTATGTGTCCCTGGGGAAGTGCAGGGCCTAGGGAGAGGAGGGAGCCTCCTAGTGTAACTGGATTATTCTAGAGAACATTCTATTCTAGACCTCAGGAGAGCTTATATGGTGGTTGCACTGTAATACTTCACTCAGTTAAGTCTTCTGTGTGCACACAGCTGGGTCTGCAGTGCATATTTTACAAAAGGTTCTACGCCCAGAATCATTTCTGGTTCTCTGGACACAAACTTGCAGCCTGCTGCTTTTATTTACATTGGAGATATTCATGTGGATGCTACTGAAAGTGGACAGCTCAAAAGAGTAATGCTTAGTTATCTATGGTACGGTCTAAAAGGCAGTCCAGGTCAGTGTAATAAAATAGTACTGGAAAAGGCAGAGAAGAAGAACAGGGATTGAATTAAGTCATACGGGAGAGAATAAAGATCTAAAGGATGAATGAAGATTTTTTTTCTAGCCAGGTGGTTATTGTTTTGATAAAAATGAAGTCCCAGGTTATAATATATCATCATCTATTTGAGGTAAGAATCACACCTGAATCCGTGGCACTAAGGACAGTCTAAGAGAAACGTCTCCAGTCCACTTTATACACGCTATCGTTGATGCCAACCAGTTTCACATCTACTGGCTGGAGTTACAGCTGTACCATTAATTATGACAGAGCCTCTGAGTTAGGATTTAGTGATTCTTTCTTTATTTCTTTTTCTTTTAACCTTTATTCATAGACACATTTTAGTGAGAAAGAAACAAGGCAGATTTACAACTACATTGTATGTGGACATACAGGAAGTTATGAATATTTTTATCAACAGTTTGAAAAAGTTTCATCAAAGTAGATGAATCAATGATAAAAGTGGAATTTCCGAAGGCACTCAAAGAAAAATTCTAGGCTTTTCCTCTCCCTCTCATCTCTTCATCTTTCTTGTTCTGGGGATTAAACCCTGCGCATGCAAGTACTCGATCACAGAATTACCCTAAGCGTTATTTCTTAAGCTGCTACGTTATTTTTGTTTTGTCTGCTTTATTCTCACACCATAGAAACATTACCTTTTCAACGGAGAGCTGGAAAAACCCAAGACTTATCTTTTTAAAAAAAAAAGCACAATTTATCTACTAAAATTCTCTGTAACTGTTTTTAATAGTATTATAATTTCTGAGCTCTTTAAATGCTTCTGTTGTAGACCTCTGTCCTCTGGGCATGATGTACCCATTGTCCTCTTGAAGTCAGAGCAAGACTGGGCTCACTAACATTTTTCTTATGGAAGCAGGAAAGGTGTGCAAGGCTGTGTATAAGACTCTGCCTCTCCCTGAGGGGTTAGCTGTTGCTATGGGGATAGCTATTCTCTGGTGATATAGCTGCCCATGCCTCTGTAAGGAGCCCTACAGCCATGCTCCTGTCTGTAACCCCAGTTATTTTCATCTTAGATTTATTTATTTTATTATATATGCATGAGTGTCTTGCTCGAATGTATGTGTATGCACGTATGTATGTATGTATGTATGTGCACCACATGTGTGCCTTAAATGAACTACATGTGTGCCTTGTTCAGAAGAATGTATCAGTTCTCCTGGAACTGGAGTTACAGATCTTTGTGAGCCAACATGAGGGTGCTGGGAACTGAACCCAGGTCTTCTGCAAGAGCAAGTGCTCTTAGCCTCTGTTCCACCTTTCCAGGCTCAGGAAGCCTGGTTAAACCCACTGCTTCAGGAGGCTAGACTTGGGTAGATTCTTATCTTCCATCTGTCACAGTTGTCTTGTTTGGTGTATATAGAGGTTCGTTCACACCTCCATGGGCAAAGTTAGCACACCAACCTCACTTAATTGTTTCTGTTCAGGGTATATTTACTAGTGCCCTCTGTTAAAGAAAAAAAAAACAGCCCCGACAGTACTATTTTTTATATCTTTTAAAGTATTTTTCTAAAATCAACAAAGTATTTTAGAGAAAGAAAATATTAGGACCATCTGCTCTAGAGGAGTCTTTGAGCGGGTTCACTTTCACGGCACATAGCAACCTGCCATATTGTTCTCGCAGGTATGTGCTCAAGAAAGTTGCTTGTACTGAACTGTACTGAGTATAATGTGATTAGATAGGAACAGCTTAACCTTGAACAAAACATCAGAACTTATGCGTGAGGAAAGTGGTTACTCATGTATCCGGAAGTGGTTACTCATATAGCCTGCCAGCCATCCTGATGTAGATAAATGCAATCCCTCTCTTCCTTTTTATGCCCTGGGTGTCCACTCTCCTAGGCCCCGGGCTAGGTCTGAGAAACACAGAGATGAACAAGATGGAATCTCTCTTCTGCCACCTCTCACATCCTGTGGAGACAGCTGGCCAGGGAATGCAGACACAAAATCAGGTGGCCTGCATTCCAGCCCCAATTCTCCTGCTTTCATTCTTGGAGTGACTGGGTTCTCCTGTCAAGCTAGAGTAATCAGCAGAAGACTTTCTCAAGGTAACAGTGTGCAACAGAGGTATTCATTTTGTCATGTAGAAAGCATCTGAAGGATGTTGACTTTTGTTTCTAAGCAGAAACCATGGGTCGATCTTCCTGGAAAACAGTATCCTCAGCAAGGAAACCCTGACTCAGGAGGAAGCAGATGTAGAAAACCCTAGCAAAGTTGGGGTTGGCAGTAGAGAAGGGTAGAAAGGAGATTGTTGGATTCCACTTGGTGGGAAAAATAGACAGTTTATCAGATTTCACAACTGGCCTGTGGTGGGTCTGTCTGCCCTCATCTTAGCTGTTGGGAGCCTAAAGGACTGAATTACCTCGGCAGAGGTGTTCTCAAGGGACAAAAAGAACAGAGATTCTGTGACTCAGGTTGCAGGGCAGGTGAAGGGGAGCAAGAGACAGAATCTTCAGGAATCTGTGAGTTGTTCAGCAAGGTTCAGGTTGTGTCCAAAGAAGCTGAACCGCAGGATAGCGCCTTCTTCTTAAGATGATCAGTTACCATGGTTGCTTTTACCTAGGACACACTGGGGCTGGAAAGGGCAGCTCAATGTTGAACAAAGGAGTCTTCTCTGGGTGACGAGGGGAAGAAGAAAGGGTGGGCCGAGTGGATTTCCTCAGGGTCACAGGCCCCAGGGGACAGGCATTTGTAATACTGGTCTTCCCCATCTAGCACTTTGATTTGTCTGCAACAAAAAGAGAATTTTCAACAGGAAAAAAAATCACACAAATATCACAACCATCCCTAGTCCATCTGAAGTTGTACGGTTGGTTGGACAGGGCTACGTCCTGACCAGCTCTGAATGTCCCTACCTCTTGGGTCTGATAATGAAACTTTCACCTTTCTGGGCCTTGGTAAGTAGTGTCTAAAAGTTGTGGTCATACTGTGACTTAATTTTTATGTGATAAAGTAACCTGTCTCCATCTGGTACCTTGAGAGACAGGTCTGCCCCTTACCTGCCTCAGTTCAGAGCGGTGCCAACTATTGCTGGCATTTCTGGCCTCCATTTTGAGGCTGACAAACGGATGGACCAGGTACTCCTCCTGGCAAGTGGTAAGCCTGGGGAAGTGTTAAGCATAGAAGGAGCGCCTGTCTACACTTGGAAACACGCTCATACTTGTAGAAGGAGAATTTTATACAACTTACTGCCAATCTTCAATTATGAGTACAATTCCTTGGAATGATCAGGAGAATAACATTTATTATTGGGTGACAATTTCAGCCTTTCTGGACAGAATGGATTCAAGTTTTGTATGTAGTTGCTACTGTGGAAAAGAATCCCTAGTGTCAATAATGGTGGCAATATCCGGGTGGGGTATTTTTAGAAGCCTCTCTGGAAAGTTTTGCCTCTTCTGTGATATCACAAAGGACCTCGTCTGTTTACAGTTGCTGAAAACTAAGAAGACAGATATTTACCCAAGTTTTCTTGGCTTCCTCTGGCTCCCTTGATATTCTAGAGTTCCCTGTGGATAGGGCCAAGAACACACAGTCAAAGAAAAGCACCAAGTCGTTAATTTTTAATTCAAAGTGATTTTGTGTTGAATGCAAGCAGATGCTGATAATATCAGAAGTCACAGCATAATTTTTTTGATCAAAGGGCTCAAGTGAGCCTGATGAAGCATGCATCTTGCTCGTCTTTGATAAACCACATCAATTATTCACCGTGAAGGCAGACATCCTGACATGAAAGCACCAGATAAAGAGCCCAAGCACATGTTCACGAGGAGAGCCGGAGAGAGTGGGGGCGGGGCTGGAGGGGCTGGGACAGGTATTAATAACAGAATTATTAACTGGAAACAAAGCCGGGAAAACGGCTTTACGGCCACTTTGAACTCACATTTAACTGGTTATAGTACATGGTGTCCTCGGGGCTACTCAACATTTTGGGCTGCTGACACCGTCTGCGAGGTGCTCGCTGCTTCTGGGAGAGACCTTCTTCTGAACCTGCAGACAAGGAAACTTCACTGCAAGCCTTGCCGGGAGTTGGGAGAATGAACTGGGAAATGGTTCTTAGTGTAAATGTACTTGGTAGAAGCCATGTCCTGTTTAAATGAAGCTTTGCCACTTCTAGGAGCAATGTTATCACGATCTTTCCAACACACACACACACACACACACACACACACACACACACACACACACAGAGAGAGAGAGAGAGAGAGAGAGAGAGAGAGAGAGAGAGAGAGAGAGACAGAGAGGGAGAGAGAGACAGAGAGAGAGAGACAGAGAGACAGAGAGAGACAGAGACAGAGAGACATAGAGACAGACAGAGAGAGAGAGAGACAGACAGACAGACAGACAGGAATAATAATCATAAGCATAGGGCTGGCATCCATAACTTTGTGGCATATTTCCAACCTAAATCACCTGCCCAGAGTGACAGAGAGCAAATTGGTTTGTCCACATTGCCGAGGCACAAGCTAGTTGGTGACCAGCCTCTGCCTAGAGAGTACCTGGAGTAGGAAAGTCTATTAGGAACAACAAAGCAATCTGGCACCGCTCACACCACATCTTCTGGTAAGAGTTCAAAGACATCTGGAGCACACATACTCCCAGGGAGAGCACATCTTTCAGTGGGATGCACTTTAGGGGAACACTGCTTGATCTAGCATTTACTGAAGTGCTTTGAACCATGCCACTGATCCATGTGGTCTCTGGAGGTGACATAAGGGAGGAGGAGAGGGATGACTGCTTGATTTCATGGGGCTGACTCTCCCAGTTAGCCTTGATTTCAAATCCTGGACCTAGAGTGCACTGGAGATTAAGAAACCACATGGCAGAGAAGCCATGGTTCATTTCCCTTCTAAGCAATGATTTTTGTGGACTCTTCTATCCTTTTGGTTGGATATCTGAGTGAAGGTTCAGCAGTTCAGGCTAGAGAAATGGCTCAATGATTAAGAGTGTTTGCTACTCTACAGAGGACCTGATTAGTTCCCAGATTTTATGTCAGAAAGCCTCCAACCACCTGTAACTGAAAGAAAGCTCCAGGACAATTGGATACTCTGATCTTGGGTACTCACATTCATGCACACACAGAGGAATGCACACACAGGCACACACACACACAAACACACACGCACAAACACACACGCACACTTAAATTTTTTAAATCTTAAAAAAATAAAAAGGCTCAGTCATTTCAACTTCTTGTCAACACACACACCTACCAAAGGATATTGTCCTAGAATCTCATAGCATAGTGAAGAGGGTATTTCCTGGATAGAATATTTACGATAAGCTAATTATTCACAAGGTGAGTTAGGGGGAGGTGGAGAGAGGGCTCAGTCGTTAAGAGCACTTACTGGCTGCTCTTGACGAAGACCTAGGTTCAATTCCCAGCACCCACATGGCAGCTCACCATCTGTGACTTTGTTCCAGAGGATCTGACACTCTCTTCTGATCTCCAGTGACAACATGTACAACATGCATAGACACATGCATGCGGGCAAAGCACACATCCACACACAATAAAAATAAATAAATCTTAAAAAAATGAATTGGAGCTTTGTGTTTAAAATCATATTTTAACCTCAGTAGAAATTTCCACTTTGGTTGAAAATTATAGAGAAAATTTTTCTTATACATTTTTGTATGCTGTCTTCTAAAATCCATGAACTAACTGGTATATAATAAGACCATTAAAATATACACATTATTGGGCTGCCATTTGATGGTTCTATTTATATGCCAGGGAATGTTTAAGTTAGGTCAAGCATATCTACCATCTTGGATATTTAACATTATTTCCATAAGAGGGAAAATGTTCACACTTCTCTCTTCTGACTAGGAGATGCACAGCAGATTACTCCTGTTTGAACTGTACTGACTGATTAATGCTCTCCCTTTCCTCCTCCTTCTGTGTCTTCAGGCCTTTGCTAACCAACATTCCACACACACCAATGACAGGTGTGGTCCTTGCCTGTTTTACTTTGAGTAAACATACCTAGTTCTATCCATGTTGTTTAAACTTTAGCACTTCAATCTTTGCTATATAGCTGAGTAGAATTCTAGTGTACATATGGACCACGCTCTTTTTAGCATCATCTGATGGACACTTAGGCTGTTTTCATTTCTTGGTAATTATGAATAGTGTTTTAAAGGATGTGGGATTGACATAGTGGCATCGTTTCCTTTGGGTATATATCCTGTAGAAAAATTGCTACACTAGGTAGTATTTTTTAAAATTTAATTATTATTATGCATATGGGTGTTTCGCCTGCATGTCTGTCCACTGTGTGTGTGTACCAGGTGGCCATTGAAGAGGCCAAAAGAAGGCTTTGGATTCCCTGAAACTGAAATTACAGATAGTTCTGAGCTGCCATGTGGGTTCTAGGAACCAAACCCAGGTCCTCTGGAGGAGCAACAAGTGCTCTTAACCACTGAGCCATCTTGCCAGCCTTTTCCTGTAGATTCTTTTGGTAAGTACCTATTTAGGTTTATTACTATTATTTTATATTTATATGTGTATGTATGTTTATATGTATGTATGTATATGCACACATATGCTTGTGATTTGATATGTATGTCAGAGGATAATGGTTCTCTTTTTTTCCATCATGTAGATTCTGGGACAGAACTGAAATTGTCAGATATGGTGGTAGGTACCTGTCCTCCTCAGTTTTATGTCAACTTGACACAAACAAAAGTCATTTGAGAAAATGTCTCCATGAGCTTTGCCTGTAGCATGTTTTCTTTATTAGTGATTGATGTGGAAGGCCACTGTGGGCAGGTAGTCCTAGGTGCTGTAAGAAAGAAGGCTTTTGGGGTGTGGTGGAGCACCCTTTTAGTCCCAGTACACGCTATCTGTGAGTTGTTCGAGGCCAGCCTGGTTTTCAAAGCAAGTTTCAGGATAGCCAGGGCTACACAGAGAAGCAGGTCTTGCAAAGCCAAAACTACCAAAACCAAAACCAAACAATCAAAACCAAAACCCAAACCACCAAAACCAAAACCAAGGCCTGTCTTCCCAAACCCAAACCCAAACCACCAAAACCAAAACTAGAACAACCAAAACCAAAGTCAGTCTTCCCAAATCAGAATCAAAACCCAAATCACCAAAATCAAAACCAAAACAATCAAAACCAAGAACCAAACCAAACCAAAACCAAAAAAACAAAACAAAACAAAACAAAACAAAACCCCAACCTAATAATAATAAAAACCAAGGGAAGAAGGTTGAACATGCTATGAGAAGCAAGCCAGCAAGCATTGCTCTTCTGTGGCTTCTGTATCAGTTCCTAACTCCAAGTTCCTGCTTACCCAACTTCCTTTATTGATGGAGTGTGGTGTGGAACTCTAAGCTGAAGTAAACTCTTTCCTCCCCAAGTTGCTTTTGGTCCTGGTGTTTATCTCAGCAATGGGAACTCTAACTAAATCTTTACTTGCTGAGCCATCTTACTGCCTCTTTAGAAAATGGGGTTGGAGGGAGGGGATCTCCGTGGTTCAGAGTCCATATTGCTTTTCTAGATGGTCCACAACCACGAGTAACTCCAGCTGTATGGGATTTTATACTTCTGGCCTTTGTGGACACCACATTCATGTGCACATACATATATATAATTTTTTTTTCAAGACAGGGTTTTTCTTTGTAGCCCTGGCTGTCCTGGAATTCATTCCATAGACCAGAATGATCTCAAATTCATAAGAGGTCTGCCTGCTTCTGCCTCCTGAGTGCTGGATTAAAGATGTACACTACCACCATGGGGCTAATTAAAAAACCTTTACATTTTAAATTTATTCCTTCACTTTGTGTATGTGTGGTAATTTGAATGATCAATTTTTTTTTTTTTTGCTAGTCAGCTTTTTGAGTTCCTTATAATCTGGATATTAACTCCTTGTTAAATATGCAGCTTGCAAGTATTTTCTTCCATTCAAAGTTTTTATCTCTTTATTCTGTCAATTATTTCGTTTGTTGAATAAAAGCTTTTTAATCTTGATGTACAGTTGTTTATTTTTACTTCTGTGGCCTGGGCCAATGTCCTGAAGCATTTATCCTATGTTTGGAGAAATTTCTAAGATGGAGTAGCTCAGCAAAGACTATTAGGAGCAGCAAATTATGTTTCTTAAATGTGAACTTTTATAGCTTGTTCTTTTTTTCTTCAATTTTGACAGAGCTATGCTTAGAAAAACACTAACTTTGTAGACACATGTAGCTGTCCATTCTGGATGCCCCTACCTTGACCCACCAATCGAGAGTGGAACAGATAAATTTTGAATAACATCCCAGATCAGAGGCCGATTAAGAGGCTCAACCCTGTGTCTCGTACCTCTAACACACATACATCCACACTATAGGGTATTGTCTTAACCCAAGTGCCTTTTGTTTGTTTGTAGGATTTTTATTTCTTTTGTTGGTTTTGTTTTTGAGATAGAGTTTTCCTATGTAGCCAGGCTGGCCTTGAACTTACAGAGATCGGCTTGCCTATGCTTCCTGAGTGCTAGGATTTAAAAAAAAAAGTTTCAAGCTAAATAGAAGCTCAAGTAAAGCATACTAACTGGACTACAAGATAATATTCCATCTCCCTTGGCAGTCCAGTGTCTGGAAAACTGTTTGGCACACAGGCTCACTGCACCGGTTTTGCCAGAACTAAGGCAGACTCCTGATGGTTCCAATACAACCATTTCCTGTTTGCTTTCGAAGTCCATATTCTGCAACATGGCAGTCTGCAAGGCGCCGAGGCCTTCGTGTGATCTTTCCTTCCTGATTTCTAAGATTAATGAGCAGGCTTCTCGAGAGTTCAGGCTTTTGTGAACATGGTTGTACAAGGCTGCCATCTGCTCTCCCACAGAAGTTCGAAGGTTACAGGAATTCTACCCATGAAAACTCAAAAGATTGATCTGAAGTAGTTTTGGGTTCAGTTGGAGTTCAGCTCATTTCAGCAGGACTTTGTATAATGTTTACAGCTGATCAGAGCCTTGTGTTCGTCCTTCCCTCGGCTGACAAAGCT